ATTCACCTACTAAAGGACTGACTCATGGATTAGACACAAAACAGCTACATATTATTTAGAAGATAAACCTAAAGTAATGACAAAATAGAATACAAAACAGAATTCAAGGCAATAAACATCAAATAAGTAGTTTCATACTGATAAAAGGTATAGTTTATCATGTAAAATAAACTGTAATATATCTAAAACATCTTCTAAATAACATATAAAGCAAAAATTGATTAAGATACAAACTTTACAGATAAGAGTAGGACACTAGCTAAATTCTCTCAGAAAATGACAGATAAGAATTAAAAGAAATAAAGGATACAAGGGAATAAAGCACACAATGAATAATCCTAATAATGTGTAAAAACTCCATATGCACCTAAAATACAAATATTTTAATCACACAGGAAAAAGTCACCATGATAAAAAAAAAAATACAACAGCCATGTATTAAGCCAAAAAGAGAATCTAAAAATATTCCCCAAAGCAGAAACCAATCGGGCATATTTATTAACTTCAGTGTACTAAAATTAGAATTAAAAATCATACAGCTAAAAGAAAATATCCACTTTGATTTTAAAAAAAGAAAAATCTGGGGAAAAAAAAAAAGAAAAGAAAAACCTTTCTAAATAATTTTTGAGTTAAACAAGGAAGCAAACAATAAAGATAAGCTTTAGCAATGAACAATGACTCAGAGTGAAATACCTAGGATGTCATCAGAGATTGTGGAAGAGGACAACATACAGAGTTAAATACACACGTTAGAAATCAAGACAATAAAAAAATACATTTTTGATTCAAGACATTAAAAAAGAAAACAAAAAAGGAAACTCAAAGATACTAGAATTAATAAAGATGAAAGAAAAAACTATTATACAGAAAATAAAAAGTATAGCTAATAAGTAAACTCAAAATCTGTTCAAAAAGAGTAATAAAATAGACAACTTCAAAGCTAAGTCTTAATGCTGAGGACCAGTATTCTATAAAACACTTACTTATAAAACTGAACCAAAGTTGTTTTAGCAACATCTAGCAATTTAATAAGATGACAGATTTTAATTTTTGTCCATGCTTATTTTGCTAAACATTTGTGAAAAATCATTGCTAGATTTTTGGCATGATAAACTAAGTACATTAACGGAGAGATAACAGCCCATTTGCTTTTTAAAAGCAATTCTATATTTCAATCACACAATTACACAAATGAATTGAAATAAATACAAATAACAAAAATGGAAGTTTTCCACGAACTCTACCCAATCCTACTTCACTAACATAAGGTAACTATCATTTATTAGATTGGTGAGCATCTTCCCAATTTTTTTTTTCCTTTTTATAACTTTTTAAAAAAGTTTTATTATGCAATATTTAAGATATAAGGAAAAAAAGAACATTACAATGAACACCTGTGTACCCATGACCCAACTTAGAAAATAAACATCAACAATACAGTTGAAACCCTATAGATATGCCTGCCCCTCAGATAACCTATCTTGCTCTTATGCATTCTTTGTAGTCTCCTACATGTGCATGTACCCCTAAACAATACATAATACTGATCTGTATGTTTTAAACTTTTATATAAATGCTTTATATTAAATGTACTCTTTACCAATTTTCTTTTTTCCTCTAAACATTATGCTTGTGAAATCCAGCCATGTTGATATACATGTTTCATTAATTTTCACCAATGTATATATAGGATTCAATATGAATTTTGAACAATTTATTCCCCAGCTGATGTACATTTGGCAATGCTGTTAAAAATAATCTTTGAGGGCCGGCCCCATGGCTCACTTGGGAGAGTGCGGCGCTGGGAGCGCTGAGGCCGCGGGTTTGGATCCTATATAGGGATGGCCGGTGCGCTCACTGGCTGAGCGCAGTGCGGATGAAACCAAGCCAAGGGTTGCAATCCCCTTACCAGTCACAAAAAAGAAAAAAAAAAATCTTTGAAAATCTCTTGTATACATGAGTGAGAGCTTCTTTAGGGTGCATACATAGAAGCAGAATTGCTGGGTCACAAGATATGTACACCTTTAACTGTACTAGATATTGCCAAATTGTCCTTGAAATAGTACAAGATTTCCTCATGTTCTATAGTCTTACCAACACTTGGTTTTGTCTGATTTTAGTTTTTCTAATGTAAAAACTATGAAACAGTATCTTATTGTGGTTTTAATTTGCCATTCCCTGTACTAATGAGGTTGAAGATCTTTTCATGCTCAGACATTTATGTTTCCTATTCTTTAAATTCCTGGCTTCATTTTCTGAGAAGAGTGTCTCCACTATTCAAAAATCTCCAGCTCAAATATTTTAATGAAAGACTTCAGTAAAGCCTGATTATCTGTAGTAGGCAGAAACCATTCATTAACCCTTTCTTTTCTGGAACATAATAGTCTAACATGAAAATCAGTGTCTTGGTGTACAAAATATTCAGTATAACGCCAGCACCCTTCAATGTTAAGCGTGCCTTTGTCACTAATCTTCTGTAACCTGTATTTCAAATGGTCAGAATGCAAGTGGAAGACTCATATCTATGAAGTTTGACATGTGCATGTAACATTAAGGTATATTTTTCCATGATTAAACTAAAAAATTAAAGAGCTGACTGCACCTTCAGATCAACAAGTCCTTAAAAATTAAAAATAAATTTCTTCATGACTGTCGAAACAGATATGATCCCAAGAGGATAAAACTGACACAAGCTGAAAAGCAGTAAAAACTTCCACCACAAACAGATAACTCTTGACAAGTGAGAGCGAGCACAAAAATGTGTTGGGAGTGAAGGGAGAGGGCAGTTGAAATTTCCAAGGCTACCGCTATTCCAGAATCTACCATATTGCAGGCACTCTGTATGTCAGTGTCCTATTCTGAACAATGAGATGAACAAGAACGACCACACAGGTTCCTGTGAAAAGTAAATGAGATAATATGGGAATGCTATACCTGTATCCGATTTAATTCTATCTCACAGATGGAGAAATGAAGAAGAGAGAGGTGAAGTACTTGTTCAAAGTCTCAGTTGACAAATGATTCCAATACCAAAATTCTTTACACTGTACTGTAATATTCATAGTACCTCTCCAATATGATTCTCAAGTGATTGTTAAAGGATAGTCACAGGAAGGAGATGGCTAGGGCCACTACCAGAAAAATTTAAGAAAACAGGAAAAGTAGTCAGGCTTTAAGAAAAACATTAAAATGAGCAGATGAGAGGTTATCTTAAATGATAACTTAGTCATTTTCCTTTGTGCTGACAAATATACTTTAGACATTCACCATCTAAAGGTTGAAATAAACGAATTGCCAACTTTAGGGATATATGGCATTCACAAAACCCAATTTATCAGTTAAGACCATTTAAAAGAAATTCTCTCAGAAATTATTTTTAGATAAACCACAACCCATTTGACTAAACACTAGATGGTAGAATTCAAATGGACAAATATTGGATATGTCACCTACCTACTGCAGGTGCATCATACTCATCACCAAGCAGAATTTCTGGAGCAGAATATGCAAGAGATCCACAGCTTGTAGTGAGCTTCTTCCCTGGTTGAAATTTGTTGCTGAAACCAAAGTCTGTCAACTTTACAAGACCTTGTTTTTCAAAGAAGACTACATTCTCAGGTTTTAAGTCTCTGTGAACCACATGGAGTTTATGGCAATAAGATATAGCATGAACTATCTGAGCAAAGTATTTCTTGGCCAAGTCTTCATTAAGACCCTCTTCATGTTTCATTATGTAGTCAAACATATCTCCTCCATCCCCAAGTTCTAGAATAAGATACAGTTTGGTCTGGGTGTCAATAACTTCATAAAGGCGTACAATGTTAGGATGCTGTACTAGTTTCATACATCTCACTTCCTGGAAAAGATGACCAGTGGCTAGAGTGTCCAGTTTTGTCTTGTCAATAACTTTTACTGCCACTTTTTCACCTGTAAAAACATGCCTGGCAAGTTTAACCACGGCAAAATGACCTCGACCCAAGGTTTTATCCAGGTCATATAATCCAGCAATCTTTCCATCATACCCTCGCTTGAATCCTGCCATGCTGGTCCAACAGAAGAAAAAATATTTAGACTGTTTGAAATGGATCTTCTCATACAAGAATATCTGGTGAAAATAAGGAATTCATTTTCAATGATGCCATGGACATCTACAAAATAAGAGGAGAAACAAAATTAAGTTTCTGTAACCTTTACTTTCATAGCATACTTTAAAATGTCTTCATTTTGTTTTTTTAAAGAGAAGCTTAAGTAAATAGAGATATAAAAGGCGTCAGAATCTTTTATAAGAATAAATATAGAAATATATTTAAAGTTCACATTATGAAAGGTTGAGAATTTAAATACCATATTAAATTTTGCAAACAAACAAAAAATTAGTTTGTTGGAAGCAACTTTTTGGTGATGTCAGAAATAAGAAAACTGGCAAGTTTGATAAGCTATGTTTAAAAACAAACATTTTCCAAATGTAATTTTCAGTTAGTATCTTAAAAAACAAGGTAAGAATTGACAAGAAAAAGAATAAATAGAAACCCAACAACTTCTTCCTGTTATCCCAAGACTAGCAATACTTCCTTTAAATGTAAAAAACGAAAAAAACCAAAAACCAAAAAACCCTTCAGTGAAGCTTTCTCTAACTCTCTCAAGCTAGAATTACCTTCTCCCCTCTGTATCTCCAAAGCACTTCAGGACACCTTTATCCCATGTAGTCTTATTCTGTAGATATTTGGGTACATTGTTTCTATCCTGAGATTGTAAAGTTCTTCAGGACCTTCTAAGGCTCTTGCGTTCTACCCTCCCCCAACACTTAGAACTGTGATTACGTATAGCAGCAGGTAACTAAAACTGTTTTACTGAATTTTGAAATGCACACAGTAGGTTCTTAATTTGCTAACTGACTAGTACTCACTCTTTGTACTTATCAGTTATGCCTATTTTTATTATAGTTTTCCAAGTTGCAAACATAACCTACACCATGATCTGCTTATATTTCAAGAATAAATGGTCATGCATTGTTATAGACGATTTAAGTCTTAAAGATCATTTGGTTTTAAAAACAAAATTTCATATCATCGTTCTTATAAATAACCCTGACTCAGAAAAACAAATAAATGTATAAGAGTATACAAATTAGGATGTCACTTTAAATCTCACGAGCTGAAATCCTACTTTTATTTTTTCTGACCAAAATTTAATAGAATTGATTTACAAAATCCAATGAGGAACAAAGCAACCTCCCAAGACTAGCTGTTTCCTATCAGTGCATATCCATCCCTTCAGTGAAGCCTTTTCTAATGCTCCGAGTATAGTTTTGTATTTTCAGTTATATATTATTAAGTGTAGCACTTATATTATTGAATCCACTTAGATAAAAATATTCTAACTAAAATTTACATACTATGAGGTAGTTTTTTTTTTTCTTTTTTTTTTAAAGCACTAGCATTAAATTCCTTTAAGCCAGCCAACAAAAATAAATAAATAAATTCCCTTAAATTTCATTTTTACTTAAAAGAACAAAAAACCAACATTTATTGAAAACCTACTATAGGTATTCATGCAAAATGAATCAAAGTGTATATTATTAAGTGTAGCACTTATATTATTGAATCCACTTAGATAAAAATATTCTAACTAAATTTTACATACTATGAGGTAGTTTTTTTTTTCTTTTTTTTTTAAAGCACTAGCATTAAATTCCTTTAAGCCAGCCAACAAAAATAAATAAATAAATTCCTTTAAATTTCATTTTTACTTAAAAGAACAAAAAACCAACATTTATTGAAAACCTACTATAGGTATTCATGCAAAATGAATCAAAGTGGATTGTGTCATTGGATCTTGACAATCCTAAGAGGTCAGCATTAATCACATTTTTATAGCAAAGGAAACAGACTCTGCTCTAGGTATAAGTGACATACATAGCTGAAGCTAGGATTCAAACCTAATTCATATTTCAAAGCCCACACTCTGCATAAACATTTGACCACTCTAATCAATGCTACATTTAGGATAATAATACCTTAAGAGTTAAAATATCAATTGTAAAAGAGGCAGAAGTCATTCTAACATTCCTATCACTTCAGAAATTATCTGAATCATATATGTGGGGTCCCCTCAAAAATTTTATATTTTAGGAGCTTAAAAAGTCAATGTTAATATATTTACTAATTTTTTTTTATATTTTAGTAATTACTGCAACAACAAGGAGAACTACTATCCACTGAATAGGTAGTACATGCCAGTCACATACCATATACTTTACATGATCCTCATTCAATCTTATAATTGCCCTCAGAGATAGAAAGTATTAGTCTCATTTCGATGCACAGAAATATTAAGTAACTTGGCACAGGCTATATGGCCAATGTGTAAAAGAGCTGAGATTCAAACCCAGGTCTGTCTGACACCCAGGTATGTGACTTTAAACACTATGCTACACTGTTTCTGCAAAATGACTTGAGATCCAAAACTAAATTATTAATCTTGATTCGATTAAGATTTCTTACTAAGAAACCAGTATGACGTACAGGTGTTGAAAAAAAGCAAATTTCTTTTGTAATGTGTATTATGCCTAACATCTTAAATTTCCTACTTACTTTATCATCCTATGTTCTATATCATTATTAAAATTATTAGCTCAAATAATTTTAATGATAGGATTAACAGGGAAATCCAAATGGAAAAACCCTGATTTATTTGGATAGAAGTTTCCCAAATTTAATTTAATTTTCAGAATAAGTTTCAAAATTTATTTCAAAAACAAAAACTGTAGGCTAACTCCATAGGCAGAACGCTACCTTTAAATCTTTAACTTCGATTAATTATAAGAGCGGTAATTATTCTCAAAATTCTGCCCAAATTTGCTTATGTTTCTATTGCAAAAGCTTTCAAATGCAACTTTAGCTTTCAGAACAGACTACTTCAGGCTGTCCCCAAGTTATATAATTTTTGTTCTTTCCATCATTTTAGTTTAGATGTGTTCCTGGAAAGTGGCATATAAATCAGACTTTATAAATGAAACTGAGATTTTTAAAAAATTAAAATGGTTTTATTATAAAAATAATAAACCAGCAAAAAGTCTCCTTTCAAGGTCTCAGACATCCAGAGATAATCACTATTAACACCTTGACATTTGTCTTCCCAGACCTGTGCCAGCAAAAAAGGCACACTGAAATAATTTTTAATCTACTAGCAAGCTCATGGGAAAGAATCTAATAGATCTCTCACAATGACAATGCAGTGAAACAATTAATCACTCTATCAAAGAATTTACTTTTTGTATGAGTATCCCATTTCCAGAGTCTATGAAACTACAATTAAATTGTATACCTAAGAACATGACATTATGATTATCTAAAGGTTGGGAGGAAAAATATCCTTGTTAGTGAACATTTTTTAAAATACTAGCCCACAGTCTAATCCTCTGATCAAGTGCATTTTAGTTGGAATAGGAAATTTAAATTTTTTGATCTTTGAGGATCTTGCAGTGCCCGAAAGTCACTATGAACATCAACACTGAATGTTAAGATGTAGCTTATGTAAAATAAAGGTGAATTTGTACCAGTTCCAAGACATACCCTGCAAACTGCATACTGAATAATCCTTGTTATCACTGTGTTTTGTTAGTTGCTTCTTTCTCCTAAAAGAAAATACAGAAAAAGATTTTAGTTTAGTTCTATTTGCTTTAACTTTACCTAAAGTCAAAATATATACCGTAAGGCTGGATCTAGACAAAGGTATTAAAAGTGGCAAAATTTGTCTTTAGTGACCCAGTCTCCTCCTATCTTTCTGCCCTCTGTGAATTACAACTCCTTTAAGGAACCTTTAATAAACAGGAATTTCAGAGTGAACAGGTAAACAGAAATTTTTCCAAGTGGACAAGCCAGAAAGATTCTTCCAGTGGAAGGAAGAAACAATAATAATGAACAACAGTGCATTTGTCATTTTCTAAATGCTTCCTGGGTAACAGGCCCTGAACCCACGTTTTGCTGAATCCTCACCATGAGCCTGCAAGGTAGGTACAATGAGGCTCAACTTGCCTGGTAGGCAGCAGTCTCTGGCTCCAATCCTACTCAGCCTGGCTTCCGAAACCTACCCCACTTCCAGGAGCCCCTACTGACTCATCAAACACCCACTACCACAGCCAAATAGGGTAGAGTAATCTTTACAACATACTGTCCTCCAGCGGGAAAGCAGAAATCAATTATGATGCCAGCATCAGGGAACACACAAAACACCTTCACATCAGAGACTGCCATTTGACAGTAAAAAAGAAACTATCACTATGAGCAAAGAGAACATAAGCAGATCACTAACATCCAACTTTGTGGCACAGTGAGGAAATACTGACTGAGGTAGCCTTGCAGGCCTTTCCACAACACTGAAATTTCACACAAATAACTGCAAGGCCTAAACATTCATCCTAGGCCAAGGCAAGTTATACTATACACTAAAGATGAGTAGTGTCACATGTACTTGGGAGGGAGAAAAGAAGTACAAGGGGGTTTGGGAAAGTAGACTGGAAATGTGAAAGGAGGAGGAAAGGTGGGTGACCTCTGGATGTGAAAACAAATCTCCTGCTGGGGATGAGGAGATGAGGGGAGACAGACAGTTCTGAGGCACAAACAGGGCCAGCAAAGCCATAGGCACAAGTCCACATCTAGCGACAGGTGAACACTAAGATGCCTGCATGCCTGGTCCTTCAGTTCCAAGTGCAATATGCTAGCTCCTCCCATTATCCTTGCCTGCCTCTCTTTACAACATCCCGTTTCATCCACAGTCTCCGTGGCAAGGCAGTCTGGGTAGTCCATAGAGCACTGGTTCTGAAGATCAGCAACTGGATATGAGTCCCAGCTCATGAATCACTAGCCACAACACCTCAGCAAGTTACCTGACCTCTCGGTATGGCCCATTTCCTCATCAGAAAATGATTACTCAGTAATGAGAATACAATCTCACAGGCTGTGGTATTAAATGAGTTAATGTAGGTAAAGTGTTTAGAACAATGCCTAGCACAGAGGATGCATTCAGTAAACACTAGCTACCACCACCATCATTGTTATAACAATGGCGTTATTACCTCCCAAGTAGAAATCCTTTTACTTTACCGTATTTCAAGAGAATGAATTCACTGAACTATTATCCTTCTTTTGCTTCATAAAAATTCTGCTGCTCAGTATCCTAAAATACATTAAATTGAAAATGAGTGCTGTAAGATTGTAATATAAAGGAAATAATGTCCCTTGCTGGGCATTTCAAAGTCTGATGATTTTTCAATGAAATATCTCACAAAATCTAAGTATCTGCTTTTAAAATGATATTAAGATAGCTTTCTATCAAATCTACCCTTTCAAAAATGGCTAAATGTTCCTTTCTATTTTTTCCCAAAGTAATATATTTTTGTAGAAAATTTGGAAAATAGAATAGGATGTAGAAAGAATAAAAAGGTGTTCACAGTCCTAGAACTGAAAATCAGTACTATTAATATTTTCGTGGCCAACCTGCAAATATTTATGTATAGCTTCTTCATTATCTCATTTTACAAAGGTAGGACGATTCTACATATAACTTTATATCCTGTATCCTGCTTTTTTCACTTGACATATCACTTTCCTTTGTTTTAGTATTTTTGTTTCAATTATAAAAGAGATATCTGTTTAGGGGTAAAAATACAATTAGAACATATAGATTGGAAAAAAGAGAGGAGAATTTTAAAAACCATCATCCATTATCCCACCCTCTATGATAACACCTGTTACCATTTTGGTATGCAGCCTTCCAAGTTATTTTCTATGTCCAGATATAAATTTTTTTTAATAAAATGGGATAATACACAGGGCAGAGGGGGGGATGTCAGGGGGAGAGAGGTTTATAACTACTTTAAAAATATTTCTCTCCAAAAAATAAATTTGACAAGTTAATACAAGTTCATTTTAGAAAATTTGGGAAATGAAGAAAAGCACAACAAAGAAAATAAAAATCACCTACAATCTCATCTAGGATGATTTATCAGGTCTAAGTATACATCCTTTACACTTATGTGTCATTACAAAGCTAAGATAATGTACGTAAAGTAAAATACTACTTTTTCCTTTACTTTATACGAATATTTTCCCATGCACTAAGCTTTTCAAAATCAGTATTTTTAACGACTACATAGCTAAGATGACATCTTTTTAAATAGCAAACACCACTAAAATAGGCCATTCTAAAGCAGCCTTCTTATTTAGCACATGCTCACACATGCATATAAGATTGGCTGAATATTACAAAGTGGTTATCATGTGGTATCAGTCTGCAGCCACTGGATGAAATCAAGATGAGAACTACAAATTAAAAGGTTAAAGTCAATTATTTATTGGAAATGTCCTAACAGCAAAATTGTACCTCCAAATCTCTAAGAAAGCATTTTCCAAGGCAAGGTAACTGCCTATGAATGTATGGTCTAAGTTTTCTTCCAAGTAGTCAATTTTAATGGACTTGGGGCCATTGCAGGGACTAGAAATGTCACACTGAGAAGCCTGTTCCAGTCTTTCAAGGCAGTGATTGGGTTGCCAATGCAGATCAATCCTTGAAGTGCTGCTGGTTTAAGTAATCTTTATTTTCCTCTAAGTAAAACAAGCTATAGTCCAGGATTGATCAAGGAATTTGAATATATTAAGTAGTCAGGCAAATCATTAACTGATATAGAGTAATACTTAGTATTTCTAAAAAGAAAGGGGTTAATATGCAAGCCATGAAACTTGAACCAGCAATGTTCAAATTCCTAAACAGAATCTGTCTCTTGTGGTAAAAAAACAAAATCTGTCTCTTGTGATAAAAAAAATGCTAAGTGTGTCACCATACTAAAAATTAGTATGGTGACAACCCTGGCATAAAGTGATTACATAATAAATAATATCCTAAACAAAAACTGGTGTGTAAAATTTACTACAAAATAAATAAAGCCAACTCACAATTAATTACACACCATTGCCAGGAAAACAGAATATAATTAGAAGTTATGGATAATTTAAAAACTTAATCTGAATCTACTCTCTTCCAAAGGTTTTATTAACATTGTCAAAACTCATTTTAACTCCCTATCATCTTTTTTTTCCTGTTGATATTGTCATGAAAATGGTCATTAAAAAAAGGTCAAAAAAAGAATGTTGGAACAGAAAAAAATAAACTGTAAACCAAAATATGGGCACCCAACATTTTATTGACTTAAAAGACAGGATCATTGGGGATTCTCTTACACTGGTAAGACTGAAAGTTACCTTTCTGAAAAGCAATTTGGTAATATGTGCATCAAGAGCCTTACAATAATTAATATTCCTGATTTAATAACTTTACTACTAGATTTATGTCTTAAAGAAATACAGATGTAGACAAATATTTATATTCAACAAAGTTCAGTGATATTTATTAAAAAAAAATCAGAAATTATCTAAAGGTCTACAATAAGGAAATGGTTAAGTAAATCACAGTATACCCAACATTAACACTATCAGGCTGGACTTTGGAGCTATTTAATCTCATGGGGAAATTCTCACAACATAATGTGTAAAGTAAAAAAAATTCGCATACCAAATTTCATAGCATATTATCCCAATTTTTCAAAAAGCATATAACTGGTGTGAATGTACAGACAGGTTTAGAATCCCTAAACCAAAAATCTGAAATCTAAAATGCTCCAAAATCCAAAACTTTTTGAGTGCAGACATGATGACACTCAAAGGAGCACTTTGGATTTCGGATTTTTGGATTAGGGATGCTCAATTGGTGTTAAGTGTATCTGCAAATATTCCAAAATCCAGAAAAATCAGAAGCCTGAAACATTTCTGGTCCCAAGCATTTCAGATAAGGGATACTCAATCTGTATTTTAAAAACCCAAAATGTTAAATTAATACGATTACAGAATTTTTTTTCCTCTTTATGGTTTTCAGTCCTCCTAAAATTTTTGACATAGTGCTGCTTTTATAATCCAGGAAAGGTGAAGGTTATTAAAATTTGGACTTTTTGTACATAATTATTCATTCAATTTACTTTTCCATTAAGAGACCTATGAAATAAGCCGATTTCCCTGAAAATATATGATCTAACATACTGTCTAATGCCTACAAGACAGATGACACTCAAAGGAGCACTTTGGATTTCGGATTTTTGGATTAGGGATGCTCAATTGGTGAAATATTCAATGAAATATTTTGCTTCCCCTGAAGGGGGACGTATGCAATTCTTTCAGGTTAAGGAACAGGAGCACTGAGTTATTTTCATAAACAAATAATTCGAGCCCTAAGTATACAGGACACAGCACAATCCCTGTCCTTTAGAATCTTACAAATAAGTAAACAGGATCTACATATAAAAAGATAAATAATTATACAAGTTAGACTAGGTAAAGTATGTCAAAAGAAGAGTAGAAGACATTAAAGAAGGGCAGGCTCTCCAAGGACAGGGGCAGCCGACAGATCTTCAACAGGTAGTGGAATGCCATTCCTAAAAGTAGGGTAAACAGAGGCAGCAAAGTAAGAGTGCATAAGAAGAAGGATGATCTGAAGAATCCCTAATGGCTCACCATTTAAGTGACTGTGATGAAAACTAACCCTGTTCAAACCAATGGAAACTTACCATACTAAATAATTCACCACATTATCTATTGTTGAATAAGTTGAAGTGTCATTAAAGAGTTAAAAATGCACAGGAAAAGCTTCTTGTCAACGAGTTGATATAAGGCTTCAACAGAAGAGGAAAATCCCTTAGGTATTAACATGACAGCACATAGAAATAGGTCATCAGAGAATTTAAATCAATTTTAAAAGTTCATCGTTCACTTCAAAGGTCCGTAAGACACCAAGTTTTGTCAAACACAAATTTTTGACTTATTAGATCTCTCTCATTATCACCCATATACACACTACTATCCTAAAAATCCACTACTAACCTAAACAGGTGTAGAAAGAAATGAGTTTTATAACAAACCACAGTTGACTTTTCTTTCATTCTCATTTCAAATTTTAAAAATGTCTTTTACTGCCACAATTGCACATTAGAATTCCAGTTTTGTTTGAATGTAGGTCTCAAGAAGAGGAAACGATTTAACCACTGGGAATCTATGTATTTACTGGGCTTTTTACATTTGTTATATCATTTATTTCTTCACAATCAGTGACATAAATGAGGTATCATACCCATTTCACAAATGAGAAAGCAAAGCCAAAGAGACTCTGTCCTGGTCCTATACAAGGTTAAGAGTTGCCTGGGTTGAACTCCAAGTCCCACTGACCCCAGGACCTTGCATTTTTTCCTGTAGCAATACAATGCCTCCCTTTACCTAGGCCTTTCTAATTCCCAGGGAAACAAAAGCACTAAACTAAATCTAGGTTGACATTTCTGGTGTTTCTCCAATTCTGATATGCCATACGAGTTACCTGCCACAGCAATCAATTTAATGAAGGAAATTCCCTGCACCAAAGACCCATCTAACAAACATTATAAACAAACTCACCTAACAAATATTATTAACAAATAATTTCGTTAAAAACTTTTTGAAATGTTTAAAATCTGCTTTTTAAGTTAAAGAAGGAAGTTACGGGCAAATAACCATTCAAAAGGCAGATGGAGGTAATTATTTGTCACCTAAAAATGAAATGGCAGCTTGAAAAGAACTTTACACAATTGTTTGTATACAATTTTGTGATGGCAAGATTCCTCCCCAGCCAACACCAGGTAAGTAATTCGGGTAAAATTTAGGCACATTCTATTTTCTCTTTAAAAACTTTATCCTTTCCCAAACTGCAATTTTAATGCACTTTGCAAATTACATTCTTTCTATTTCTTTCTGAAAAAGCATTCACAAGAGGATTAGCAAATACTCATAAAATAGAGCAAAGGACAAAGTCATGCCCTGAAACTGAAGACTGAATATTCTCGTTCCAAATGTCTTTAGCACCATTCATAATATTTTATGCCAATAAAGAGAGAACTATATGTGGAAAAACTGAATTAAGAGATAATACAAATCCTTCCATGAACTTTTTGAAGACCCCTCGTATTTGTTAGTATAGTATCCTAAATCTAAAATGGACTTTATCAAGATAAGTCATACTGTAAGAGTAAAACTTACATTAAAATATCTCTCTAGTATAGAGGAACCAACATAGCAGAATATTAAATCAAGTTTGACGTGTTATTCAAATATTTCCCCTAGTTAAGTAAAAGTCAATATAATGAACTAAGAGGTGTGCATGTACATATGGGAGAAGGAAACATCAGAGAAGGAGCTAGCATAGCAATCCTCAGATTCAACATTTCAAAGAACCACATGGACAACTTTTCTTATTATCTTCACCACAGAGGTGTGCTTTAGGAACGACCAAAATTCATTTATTCAGCAAATATGCAGAGCAGCACAATAGCACAGTGGAAAGAGTGCCATAGGATATAGAGCCCAACAAGTTACTCAACTTCTATGAACAAGCACATCTTTATCTATAAAACAAAGATAATCACCACTCTGGACAGTTACTGTGAAAGCTAAATGGGATAATATATGTGAATATTAACAAGTTGTGAGTACGATCAAAACACACAGAGATTATATTCCCCAACTTTTCATAACTGGCCACCCTCCCAGGAGGTTCCAATATTTGAGAGGAGTTGTATACTTAGTTCCCCATCTTATTTTGTTATAGGAACCTTCGTCCCCAACTGGCCCAACAAACTGGCCCCTAGACATCTCTATGGGATATACTAGGAAGGTCCCTGCCCCAAGTTATTTACAATCTCTAACAGGAACAGACATGCAAAAAGAGGTGTTCTTTCCCCTAAATGTGCCTTAGGGAGTTCATAAAAGGCCCCCCAGAGAAATTAATTCTGTGTGTGCTTGAACAAAGAATTGAAATTGGTGATGGTAAGAAAGAGACCTGAAAGAGCATAGTATGTTTGGGACAATAATGTATGCAGAGCATAGGAGACAAGGTCAGACATGTAGGGAAGGGCCAGATACCTAAATAGCCTTGGATTCTGTGCAAATAACCAGAATATAAGGTACATAATTTATGTAATCAGTTTATATTATAAATTATAGCCTACTCATCAACTGCACATATAGGATGAATAATGGCTATCCTTACCTATAATCCCCTCATCATAATCCTAAATTTGCTAGCTTCTATTAATAATTGCTATTTTTATAATATTTAACCTAAACACAAATTTCACCACACTATCACTATCACCTCCCTTGTACACATCAGCTCCCTGTACCCAGTCACAGTGTCATGTTCTTTGCCATTACGGCCCTCATCACAATTGTGAGGTCATGTAATTACTTGTGTGATTACATAGTTGTGTCCCCCACTGGACTAAATGATAAGTTCTGCCCATGTAAGGCCCATGTCTGTTTTACTCAAGCTCTATATCTGCCAAGTACAGCATCTACCCAAAATATAAGAGGATACTTCAAAAAGTTCATGGAAAGATTTGTATTATCTTTTTTTTTCATGAACTTTTTTGAAGTAGCCTTGTACAGACACATTTTAATAAATGAACAAATGAAGGCAGGCCTAAAAAGCCAAAGAATCCTGAGCAGAAGAACAGCAATCAGAGATGACAGTTTAACAAATCACTCTGGCAGCAAAGTAAAGATCAGACTGGATGGGCAAGACTAGAGCTGGAGGAAAGGTAAGGAGACTACTGAAAATGTCTGCAGATAAGTGCTTACTTAAAAAGTTAAAAATGAGGGCAGCCAGTATCTAGGCAGTGATGATGAGGATGTAGGAGGAGAAACATTTCAAAAGTAGAATCCAAAAACTCAATACACAGGCGGTTAAGGCAAAAAGGGAAATCTAGAATGACTTTAGTGGAGAGTGGTAGCTGGTGGTTCCATTCTCAGACTGGAAATACATGACAGAAGCAAACATTTCCTGAGCATCAATGACATGCTAGCACGGAGTGGAAGACATGCTTCTAGTTCTAAAATTATATAATTGAAAAACAATTTAAATCCAACCCAGCTGTATTAAAATGGATATGACTTCTATTAATAGGCAGATAAAGTCAACAAACTAAACATTAGATTTTTAAAGTTTTTTCACCAAGATACTTCTTGGGTATACAAGAAGTGTTCTCTGACTTGAAGGAGCTCAGTCTTTTGGGTTTAAGAAAGATAACTGCATGCCCACAACTGAGAAACCGAGGCTCAGTGCGGGTGTGATTTAACCACAGTTACACTGTATAATCCATACTCCTGGACCATTAGTTTCAAAGGTTTCTTGACCATTATTTAACCTTCATCAAATAGCCCAGGCAAATATGTAGTTGAAGGGGTATGTGTTTACATGTAGAGACCCAGTCTTGCTGTGAGCCTGGAGACACTCCAGAACTTAAACGTTAACACTACATGGACAGATGATGTCCTTTGATTTTGAAGTAAATGCTGAGTAGCCACACAGCAGCAGACTGGGGGGCACAACACAAGTAACAAAAGGGAAAGAAGTCTGATTTGTCATGGAAGAGCCTACCTGAGTAGAGGCCAAATGTTGGACGTGCCAAAGCAGGCTCTCAGGAGGCTCTGAAAGTGACAGCAGAGAAATAAATGTTCAGGGAGGGCAAAACAGGAATCCTCTTTAAACAGGTTCCTCCCCTAACACTGGCAAGAAAAGGTTTCCCCTGGGATATTGGGCCACAACCCAAAGCAGATGTGCAGAAAAGCAGATGAGGAAATGATCCTCATCTGTGTGAATAATGTGGCTCCGGATCATCCAGAGCAGACAACACACTTCCAATGCTCTCTTGTAAGGCCAGCAAGCCCAAGGGATTTTTATACCAGCTCTTCCCAAACTAAAACAAAATACCAAAATCCTTCCTCCTCCATCCCCCAAACCTACTGCAGAACAGCTGCCTTGTCCCTACCTCCTCAAATCCCTTTTACCCATTTGGAAAGAAGTTCTGCTTCCATTTGGCCTTGTCTTCTCATCCTCCCTGAACCCTTCCCTTTGCAGAACAGCTGCCTTGTCCCTACCTCCTCAAATCCCTTTTACCCATTTGGAAAGAAGTTCTCCTTCCATTTGGCCTTGTCTTCTCATCCTCCCTGAACCCTTCCCTTTTCTGACTGGAAGCTCCACCTACCCTTTAAGACCAGTTCAACCATCACCTCCTCTGTGAAGCATTCCCAAGTCAGGTTGTCCACTGCCCCCGTCTCTGTGCTTCTGCAGGGTTTTCCCTATGCCTCACCACAGCATTCGTCTGTTCATATTGTCACTCTTTACCCCAGTGTTCCCCAATAGGTTTTTATTCATTTTTCTACTGCTACCCTCTACTAAAGGACCTCAAAAACGGGCACACAAAGGTTTCATGAATAAATGATCAAATGTTAAGTATCTTCGAAGCTGCTAGAATCCAATCAACTTTCCCATTTAAGTTGCTCTAAGAATTTACCTGCACATATATGCTCACTGGGAAGCAAATAAATCGTGAATAAGTGTTCTTACAAAAGCATTTGGACTAAAACCTTTCTTCTGGTTGTTAAGCAAACAGCTGGGATGCAATTAAAATAAGTCTTTAGAGTTTTTCACCTATGTTTTTAATTTCCAAAATTCTGACCAGGTGGAAAGTTCATTCGTACCCTTTTCTTCCTGGGCAGCAGAAAGAGCTCTTAACCTCAGACAAGTTGCTACTGGGAAAAAAAATCATGTCTTATTTATACCAGTGCTTAGAACCATGGCTGCTCAGTATCTCCAAAAAATAAACAACTTTTTTTCTATTTAGTTTCACTTTCTATACGAGGGAAAGCACCCACAGTGAAGTTTAGGTGACCAGTAAAAATATCATGAATGCCCTTCAATTTTAATAATGACATTTAAAAGCCTTTCTTTAAGGATTACATGATTCAATCTGAACCACAAAGGCCCAATCTATATTTCTGGTCTAGAAAAACAAAAACTAGTATAACTTCTGGGTTCTAGAACATTTTAAACTAATGGATCTTGCCGCAATAATACAGAAAAACTTACTCAGAATCATAAAAAATGAATAGGGCCAGAGTAATTTTTGTGCACAAAACGAAACAACAAAAACTGATCATGCAAATTTAAAAAATGGAAAGGTGGTACTCAAAGTTTCCTGCCAGGAAAGCCTTCAAGATGGCAGTACTAAGAAAAGTTAGCACCGTGCACTTGATTTTCTACACTGCTTCAATATGTGACCTTTGGAATGTCCTGTAATTTCTCTCATGTCTAGTTCTGTAAAATGGGAATATCACTGGTTTTCCTCACAATTACCCACATAGTTGGATAAAAGAATCAACATGTATACGGTATTCTTTAAAAACAGAAACGTGTCTAATCAGTATGCTTTAATCACTTGTACAGTACATTCCTCTTCAGGAATTCAATTACAAGAGAAATATTTAAGCAGACGTTGAAGACAAGCTTCCTTAAGCGAATGATTTTATAAATCTGGAAAGCAATGTAACAAGATTATAAATTAACAAACTGATTACATAAGCCTTGAAAACCCAGGCTTTAAAGTACACTGATATACATTCCGCTAAGTTAAAGACTGATTTGGGACACAGCACCCCAACTCCATACAAGGAATCCAAACTGAGGCATTTGATGTTTGACAGGAATTTGGTGAAGAATCAACAGGACGTCCAACACTTGCAGGTCCATCACTTGCAAGCCATGCTTCACCTGAGAACCTGATAAAATGTTTATTTAATACATTAAGTCAGCTTTACCACCGCTCCTAAGACTTTGAAAATGAACTCAACTAAAATGGAAGAGAAAAAAAAGTAACTTGACAGTTTGAAAGGTCCTATATCCTTAGCCTCTACGGACTTAAGAACCCCACTGCTAAACTCTCCCCCAATACTGGACTTGAACGAACTCCTGATGAAGGTACTGGATTGCATCTGATCCAACTGTTAGCAACCAGCTCCAGGACCCCCAGGATAAAAAGCTGCCACTTTCGTGGATCCCAAGTAAAAGGCAGGAAGGTTTTTGCAAAATGGTCCGGAAAGAAATCAACAGGCGATGACTACGGAAAAGAACGTAGGCTTCCCAATCCTTAAAATTCTAGCTCTCCCTCGGGAATGCCACGGCTCCCCCTTCCTTACCCCGCTGTCCTTTTTCTGCAGACAATATTCCCACTCTATTGTAAAGCTGCAGTTTGACCGACGAGCCACCTTGCTGCGGCCAGATTTCTAGATTTGTTTGAAAAAGGAAAAATTCAGAAAAGAGTACACACCCTACAGAGAGACCTGGCCCCGCACTCGGCCCGCTCCGGGGCGGGGCGCGGGATGCGGACGCCTCCCGAGGTGCCGCAATCCCGCCGCGGCCG